TTTCAATTACATTTCCAATTATTTTTTAGGAGTTGCCCACAAATAAAACTCTATACTACCACTACTAAAGTAGTGGTATTCTCTCTTTCTCATTGCATTACATTTCTCTCTCTCTCTAAAATGTGGCAACACTACATAAAAGCCCCCCAAAATATGTTTATTATCGAACCACCTTCTCATTACAATTACCACAACAAACATTAGAGTTGATGATTGTGTTCTCTCCACTCGCTCTTCTCCCGGCAGTTGGCAATCATATTTTCCCCTCATTATCTCTCCGCCCCTCAAACAAGTACTTTACGACTCAATTCAATCATTCATCTTTGTGTGGAATAATAGACAACAACAACAACCAATACATAGAAAATAATGAATTGCTTTATAGAAGAGGAAAAAAACCGAGTGAGAGACAAAAACAAAACAAAAAACAGGCACACACAACTTCAAAAAAAAAAAAAAGAATGTAAAGTGGAAGAAGTAGAAAGAAATACCAACAACTTGGTTTCTGTGAAAAACAAACACAAAAGGAAGACAACTATTGTGAGTAGAAGAAGAAGCAGCAGCAGCAACGGCGGCGGCAAGACACAACACAACACGACAAGAAAACATAATAATAACAACAAAAAAGTGCAAGAAAACAACTTTAAAAAAGGAAAGGAGAAAAAACAAAAACATTAAAGAGAAATTCAAAAGAAAACGAGTCGACAACTGGATAATGGAAAATGGCAACAACAAAATGTTAAGGTGTTTATTTATGGTTTGTTTGGCCGATAAAGATGTGCGACGGACCGTCGGACCGATCCACTGACAGGACGGACCGTAGTTAGTTTGTTTGTTTTGTTGTTGCTTGATTGATGACGTTTTCGTCTAACCGGCTAATGTTTTTGGAGTGAAAATCCATGCAGAGTGTTCATCAAATACCTACTTTGAATATTTTCCATTTTCTTCTTAGGTTACTGCTACAAGTACACCAACAAAAAAGGCAAATAAAACATGAGTGGTTGGGTTCATTCATTAACAAGACCTGTGAAGTTCATTGAGACCTTTTTAGTAGTAGTATTCCTTTGGAGTTATAGCAAAATATGTTTAATATAAGAACATAAGGATTAACTCTGGTATGGTAAAAAATTACCACAATTTAATTTTTCCCAGAGGTAAATATTTTTAACCTTTATTCGGGAGTATTTTTTTCTTGAAATAACAATTCAAGTAACCCGCAAAAGTTCGTGAAGAATTCTCGGTAAAACTGAATTGGGTTATAGCAAAATAATCGAGCTTTGGACTCATATTTGTTGAAGCCCCCTTTAAGTCGTAATAGTCTTAATTATGGGGGAACACAAAACATATACCAAGTGAGAGCTTACAAAGGAACCTTTTTGATGAGTTCTTTCAACATTTTTTCTATACTGGAATTACCGGCAAAAAATTATCGAGTTATTACCCAACTACTACAGCTTAAAAGATGTAATTCGAAACAGTTTAATAGAATTTCATTTTTATTTATGTTCAAGAACAAGTTAAAAATTATATTCCGACAGATGGATACCCTCAGCCAATGTTCGGTTATTTAGATATATTTCGAGTCCTGTTATGATTATTCAAATTGTTGACCCTGTATGGAGTAGGTTCCGAAGGAATGGGCCAATATCGTCTCCGATCTAAAAAATGTGATAGAAATATTGCGACGTGCCAGGTTTGGACTTCCTTCACTTTATAAGAGATATGTGATAATTTTTTAGAAAATGTTAAAATCTTGAGCCCCATGTGGGGCAGGTACCAGAAGAAATGGTCCGATTTCTACCATCTTTATAACAGATCTTGTATTGATGGAAATATTGGGATGCACATGTTTTAAGAGCTTCTTAAATATTCAAAATTTTGACCCTTTGTAGGGAGATGCCAGAAGGACTGAACCGATATATCCCACCTCCACAGCAGATCTTGTGTTATCAGAAATAATGGGATGTGTGAAATATGAAGAGAACCGGATTTTATGATCGTTTTGGTTATTCAAAAATTTCACCCTTTGTGGGGGAGGTACCGGAATAAATGGTCCGATCTCTACCATCTTTATAACAGATCTTGTATTGATGCAAATATTGAGATGTATCAAGTCAAAATGGAATCGGATGTTATTTTCATGTTTTCAGAGCGTCATGGATAATCGAAATTTAGTCCCTTTGTGGGTGAGGTACCAGAAGAAGTGGACTGGATTGCACTTCTCCGAACTCGATATATTTTTGATAATAATATTACTATATACTAAGTTTGGACCAAATCGGATACTCCCTTCGAGTATTATCGTGCGCACCAACCAGTCAGACGGACAGACATCGCTAGATCGGTTCCAAATGTTCTGAAATGGATTTGGTCTAAAAGGACCTGGGATCTGAAACCGTTATTTCGATGAGGCACGTTTTTGGCCGTATCAAATAATATATACCCTCTCTAGCCATATGGCTGAGGTAACTGATATGTTTTACCGAATACCATTGTTCGAGAGCGTATTGCGGATGAAACATAGAACCAACTCTAATTTAGTAAAAACCTTTTGTTTTTTTGAAAAATTTTCTAGATTTAGGATATTTTCCGGGTTCTTATCAAGAATTTTTATTAAATCCCCCATCCCGGATCCAAGATGGATGAAGGCCTCGGTTTTGTCTTATTTCGGCCAAAATTTATTATTTATCACCCATATAAAAGCCGAAAATGGTAAGAGAACTTTGCAATAGCATAACAGGACCATTGACTATATAGGTCGATAGTCAGATGGCACTTAAATTTATCCTAAAAAAAGTCGAGTATGGGTCCATTATGCCTTTTCCAACTTAAATTACATTGATGTAACAATACCTGATAGGGACGCTGGGGATGGTGGCAAACCTCCCGCACGGCCTGGCCAGACGGATCCAAGATGGATGAAGGCCTCGGTTCCGTCTTATTTCGCCCTAATTATTGGACACCCATAAAACTTAATCAGGAAGGCAGCCGAAATGGTAAGAGAGTATTGCAATAGCATAACAGGGCCAGTGACTATATAAGTCGATAGTTAGACGGCTCTTAAAGTTATCCAATCAAACGACATTAAATCGAGAGCCATTTTTAATTCCAAAAAAAAATCGTCTCTTTGAAGTATGAGAATTACATAAACTTTGTCGTGTCCCAGGATATAGCATCAGTGGCAACCAAGTGGGAATGGAATGACTGTGGTGATTTCCAGTTGATTGATCTACCGTTTAATGAGATTTTGTAAAGGTTTCTCATCAAAGAAGTTGATAGAAATTGCTGTTTGGAAACCGGTTGCAATGGTTCTAAGGCCCTCTTGACGATAATCTCGTGACAAAGAGCCAGCTTTCTTCTATTACTTAGGTAGCCTGGGTCGAATTCACACATACGGTTTCAAAGAAATTTCGATAGGCAAGAATTTTAAAATTTGATCTATAAAATGATAAAATTTCGATCGAATCGAATTAGGCTCCAGTTATTTCTATGAAAATTTCCATTTTCGCCATTTTTACGCATTCACAAATTCATTTCGATCGATATTAAGTCAAGATTAAATGTGAGAATTTGGTAGGCATTAACTAGCCACTGCTTTTTCAGATATCTCTTCTCAAGATGGTCCTGACAACTGTAGAATATGTGATGATGAAGAATGGGTAGAAACAATTGAGCACCTACTACTCATATGCTTCTAAGTCCAGTCTCAAAAAAGTCGCAACCTGCACGTGTTGGATCCACAAGGATACTGGATTTAGTTGAGTTGGTTTGGCTGGGCAGCGAAATAGGTGCAGCATGTCATGTGCACCAGTACCACAAGCTGGGCAGATATTCTGTACAACGCTGTCAATCCGGGCCCAATAGGAATTGCGGTGGTCGCACCATCCGGATTTAACTGAGCCAAAAACTGCACGGGTTTGTCGGAGCAAGTTTTATGGGTGGGAGATGGAATCTCAAACTTTCTTCTCAGACATACATAGATCCCATAATCATATATGAGTTTCCTTAAAGCATTCTATAGCTAGGCAAACCGCCTACCCCCAACTAATTATATATCTCTACCACTCCTTTTTTCCTTTCACCACTAATTTATTCTTCCAAGGATGAACACAATGGTCCAAAGGTTTCCAAGTGAAGCAGCTGCCGACGACCATACCTATATCTAGACCAATTTTTATGAAATTTATTCGACTTGCTTCTATCCTGAAGTAAAAAGAAATTATAGAAATATAATTCTATGAAAAATAAATTTGCCTTACCCTGACCACATTTTCGACCTAGTGCTTCAATATATGATTTTTGTAGAATTTTTCTAAAGGGATTTCCAAAAACGCCTTTGGCAGTCAGCACTAGAAATACCACCAATGTGTGATCTAATAATTCACTTTTAATGGAAATAAAGTGTTCTATTTACAATACCTCAGGCAAGTATCGCCAAACAAACTCCTTTAGAAACTTGAGTGCATACTCTGCAAAATTCCGTATCATAAAGGATATGGTAATAACATTTTCTGGCAGGTTCTGTAACCTTCCACATATAGTTCTGCATATAAGCATAACAAATTTTTAAAATGAACTTTCCACGTGGCACTGTCAATTCGGTTAGAATTTTGGCTGAATATGTGTTTTTTCCATTTGTTTTATCATTTTCTCCCATTTCAATTACGTATCCTTCAATAATTGCATGTTTTATCTGAATTTTGACAAATTTCCTTTTGAAAAATAAACCCAATTGCAATTTAATGAGACTCTTTTAGGCTGATTTGATGTATGGCCAACTACCTTCAACAAATTAACATGGAAAAACAACTGCCGATAGAGACACCAACTGTAATTTGCAAGTATTGCTACTCTCATTCATTTGAAAAACTGTAACCCCAAATTGCCAGTTTTTTTATCATAATATTTCTTCCCTGAAATTGTATTTTTAAGTTAATTTTTATGTCACCCAAAAATCTCCTTAGAAAAGTTAAAATATTGATTACAAAAGACCTACTTACCTTTTACTTTTAATATGATGTTGCTTAATCCAATTGCATGGGAGAGGATAAATATCAATTCTCAGTTACTCTTTTCATAGAGATCTCTTCTCATCAATACGAAATGAGAGGCCACCAATCAATTGCCATCAAAAACAAACTAAATTATTTCAGTTGAATGCACTCTTTGATGGACAGAATACAAAAAAAAAAACAATAAATTACTGCAAATGTTGTTTTTTTATTACTCTTTTTGTTGTTGCCACTTAGTTTTTTTTTTGATTAGTTTAGCATAATTTTGCAAACAACGGTGGTGCTGCGGCTACTACTGAACTGCAAAAATTAAGTAATTTTATTTAATACAATTTGTTGTTGCTGGGGTCTCTCACGAGAGAGGAGGGGGGCCACCTAGTAATGTACTAAAATTGCTTTTTGTTGCACTGCACTGTTACTAGTTAGCAATTGTTGTTGCTGCTTCTGCTGTTGCAATTTGCAAATGTATTTTTAAATAGAAATCAAATTAAAGTTGATATGCTGTTTTCATTTTTGTTTTGATCACCACCCGCCGCACTGTCACAAAATTAAATCGAATTCAATTGCAAGGTGAAACGGGTGCTATGTCGTGGTTTGCACAAATGTTCGATATTAGGATGTTCCCCTTTGAAAAATAGTTTGGCATTTGTTAAACGTGTGATTCGTGGAGAAATTAGAAGATTTTCTTTGCACAAAACACGCACTCGAAACACTCACGCAATTTGTTGCTACAACTGTGGCGGCGGCTGCTGCTGTTGCTGTTGCTCCATCAAAACACAACGAGGATCGCTGACGGCGTTGGCGGCTGTTTTGACGTCACAGTAAATCCAAATGGCATTTGAATAAAATGTGCGCTGATTATGGAACAACTCTAGTTTAGTAAAAACTCTTAGATTTTTTCGAAATTTTTTCCAGAGGTAGGTATTTTTACCCTGATCCCGGGAAACTATTTTTTTCTTGGGGGACGGACCCGGGACCCCAGATTTTTGACCCAAAAGTCCGGGATCAAGACCCCGCCTGGACCCGGATCCACTTACCCGATATAGACAATATGGGTATCGATTGAAAGCTTATGGAAATACCTATCCAACAAGTGGTCACATGAAGGGGTAAGTTTTCATGGTTCGGAAGTTATAGTCAAATTATCGATTTTTTGGACCCGGATTTTTTATGAAACCCCCAAAAAGTCAAAAAAGGGCCCATTATGGGGGTCAACAAAATTGTTTCCAAATTATAGCTGACACTCTTACCTTTCCAAAATGCTACAATTTGTGCTAATACCTTTTTCGGTTCCAGAGATATGGGTCTTTCCATCCGCATAACCCGATTCTAACCAGTTCATTAAAATTGTGTTTTTAATAAAAAAAGTGTTTATTTCGCGTAGCAGTCGTCGGAATAACAAAAGTTTTCTAAATTTGGCACTTTTTGTAAATAGCCGGCCTTCGGCCGGGGCTTGAGATTTTCACCTATGGGTATGTCCGACCCCGGCTAACGCGAACAAAAGGTTCATAATTTCGGCACTCTTTGTAAATAGCCGGCCTTCGGCCGGGGCTTGAGATTTTCTCCTCTGGGTATGTCCTACACCGGCTAACGCGAACCAAAGTTTTCTAAATTGGATACCTTTTGTAAGTAGCCGGCCTTCGGCCGGGGCTTGAGATTTTCTCCTCTGGGTATGTCCTAAACCGGCTAACGCGAACCAAAGTTTTCTAAATTTGACACTTTTTGTATATAGCCGGCCTTCGGCCGGAGCTTGAGATTTTCTCCTCTGGGTATGTCCCACACCGGCTAACGCGAACCAAAGTTTTCTAAATTTGACACTTTTTGTAAATAGCCGGCCTTCGACCGGGGGTTTAGATTTTCTTCTCTGGGTATGTCCCACACCGGCTAACGCGAACCAAAGTTTTCTAAATTGGATACCTTTTGTAAGTAGCCGGCCTTCGGCCGGGGCTTGAGATTTTCTCCTCTGGGTATGTCCTACACCGGCTAACGCGAACCAAAGATTTCTGAATTTCATTCTTACGCAAAATATACCTTTTTTATTGAAAACATAGTTTTAATGAACTGGTTAGAATCGGGTTATGCGGATGGAAAGACCCATATCTCTGGACTCAGTAAAGGTATTAGCACAAATTGAACCTTTTTGGAAAGGTAGAAGTGTCAGCTATAATTTGGCATCAATTTTGTTGTCCCCCATAATGGACCCTTTTTTGACTTTTTGGGGGTTTTATAAAAAATCCGGGTCCAAAAAATCGATAATTTGACTATAACTTCCGAACCGTAAGATCTTACCCCATCATGTGACCACTTGTTGGATAGGTATTTTCATAAGCTTTCCAACGATACCCATATTGTCTATATCGGGTAAGTGGATCCGGGTCTAGTAGGGGTCTCGAACCCGGACTTTCGGGTCAAAAATCTGGGGTCCCAGGTCCGTCCCCCAAGAAAAAAATAGTTTCCCGGGATCATGGTTAAAATACCTACCACTGAAAAAATTTTCGAAAAAATTGAAGAGTTTTTACTAAACTAGAGTTAAGCCGCCCGCTCACTCACACACACGCACAGCTAATTTGCAGTAAATTTCGCACAGCGAATCATAAATGGTATTCTACGCAAGTATTGCAATTCTTTGCAAATTAAAATTGCAATTATTTATTTTCTTTTTTATATTTGGATCAAAATCAGGCTCACATTGTTTTAAAATTCACATTAATTTTGTCATTAATTTGGTTGGTTGTTTGTTAAAGAAACGAATTTTGGTTTTTTATTTAATTCTGTTTAATTATCTTCTTGTTTCTTCTAGCAGACACAAACACGGATTCCACTTTGATTTTCTTTTTGGATTTTGCACTTTTTTTTTTTTTTGTTTTTTTGCACTAAAAAGTGGGGGGAAATTTTCCGTTTGTTTTTTTTTTTCACACTCCACACACAACAATATTCTTGTTTGGACGATTTTTGTATTCCTTCCAAAGTCTTCGTCGTCGTTTCACTTCTATGGTTTTTTTCACTCGTCCACACAAATTTTTGGTGGGTTTTTTTTGCTCGCTTATTTTTCGTCACAATTTTTATTCATTTTTTTTTGGTTGGTTTAGTTGTTGGATGGTCTTCTGCTAAACAGAGATTTTTTCCTCTAAACTTTTCTCTTCATTTGCTTTTGCATTTGTTTCATTTTTATTGGCATTTTTTTAATTTGCACATTTCCATTCGACAGAGACACAGCAGACATGAAGGAATTTCACTGGCAAAGAGTAATTTCGAATAATAATTTAGAAAATGATTTTTTTCTGTTTCTTCGTCATTACATTCGTTGTTCTTCGTCGTCGTTGTTTGTTCGCCATTTTCGTTTTTATTCGTTTCTTCGTTCAGTTGAAGTTAGTGTGGCTATGGTTGTCTCTCTCTCTTTTATCGATTTATTAAGTAAATGTAGGGGTTGCCAGATTGGTGGGTTTGGGTGGAAAGTATGAAGTTGCCGTGAAACAGTGGGCAAAGCGATGGAATGTTTCATGTTATTAACAATTTATGTACGTTTGAGCATTAATACACATGTTTTATGTGGGACATACTACAAAGGACCCCGAAACTGGCTGGATAACTTAAAAGGGTAAGTGTGACAGCATTCAATTATAACAAATTGGACAGGTAAATTAAACTTAAAAAAAAAACAATTCTGAACTTAGAGACTTATGCCATGTTTACGTTAGAACTTTTTGTAGGGTTAACCTACTTTGAGAGGATTTATTTGAAGTAAAAGTAATGGATATGACAATTTAAATCCAAATCCAGTGGGTTAACCCTCATATATATAAACGTACTGTTATAACTTAAAATTTCCTTATAACAAATGTGACAAGTGGTTTTGTAACAATATTTTAATTTAAAAGAAAATTATTTCACAATATCGAAAATTATCGAAGAATACATGTAGTCACACCGACACAGCTGCTGGCACAATGAACTGTCAAATCAATTTTGGAATTGACATCTTCGAATAAAAAATTATTCATATTTTTAAAATGTTTAACTACCTCCGAGCACGTAGTATAGGAAAACATAAAAATATGTACTAATTTAAAAAAAAAGGTAAAAACTTTAATAAAATTGGCATATCTATTTTTCAAAGCGTTGATGCATCTACCTGTATTCAAATTACTGTCAGTTCCTCTAGAATATGCCACCGTAATCGTCAAAAAAACCACTAAATTTCAATAATTAACTCGAAGACCCACAAATCTTCTCTCAATAAGTTAAAGTTCGGCCTGGCCGAATTTTTAATATCCTCCACCAATTGGCAGAAACAGGTAAAATTCAAAAAAAAATCCCCGGAAATATGCTGCAAATATTATTAATATACCGAATACCGGTTGGTACAATTATATGGACTGTATAGCCAAAATTCTGCCCGTAACAAATTTCAAATACCAAATTAAAAACAATTCCGTCAAAAACTACTCGGTATGTCATATCCCTTACTTATACGTCAATAAATCCACTTGAAGTAGGTTAACCCTCCAAAAAGTTCTGATGTAAACATGTGATAAATTTGCCAGTACACCAAAACATAATAATATTTGGATCATTACCAAAAATTATACGGACCTAGAGAACATCCGTGTAAAATTCGTTCGGAAACTTATGAAACTTGTACCACTGACGGACGAACATGGCTAAACCAACAACGAATTTTTTGCCCATCAAGAATGTGAGGTCTAAAACGGTCACTTCAAGGTATTACAAGATAGTTAACCAAATTGGCACATTAAATTGATTCTCTTTAACCTCAATGCTTTAACGTACAATAATTATTTTAAGGAAATATTTTAAAGAAATAAATCTGTCGCATCTAAAGTCTGCTACTATTGTCACAAATTTTTTCCTCACACCAAGCATATTCTTATACAATTCCTGATTATTTCTATTCGCTAACACTTCTTCCCTAAATATTTAATATTTTTTATAACTGAGTACCACTGTTTTGTAATTCTACCAATTTGTCCAATAAATTGGTAATTAAAATGAAATTTAAAGCATATGGCATTACCCCTTCTTCAAAGACATGTATGGCAACACTACAAATAGATAGAGAATATACCAATACGACTATCTCACTCTAACCAAAGAACAAAAGGAACAGAGGAAAACGGCAATACATGAAACAGATGGAGAAGATTGATTTTGCTTTGCTATTTTTGGACTTTTGTATGGTGCTCTTGTTTCGCACTTGTATTCTTCGTTCGTTCTGCACTGTTCTATGTTTTTTTGCGACATCGTTTTGTGTGATGCTTCTTCTTTGCCTTTTCTTTCAAATGGGGAAGGCAAGAAGAAAAATTGCACATTTTTTGTGTGTCTTTTCAATGTGAGTGTTTTTGAACAGAGAGGGGGTGGGTGACGGGGGAAAGGAGGATAATTAAAAGTTGGCGCGGACGCTGCGATATAAACAAAAATAACAACGGTGCAAGTGGGCGGTGATGGCATTTAAAGATTTTGTTTTCTTTTTTGGACCGACTGACTGATTGGTGCAAAATTGCAAAACGGTGTCAGGCGATAATAAATAATTTTTTGTTTAAACAAACGCAACGACGACGTTGACTGCGACAGGTATGGGTTGAATGGATTATAGAGTAAAATCCAAAGTATCAAAATCCAACTGGTGAGCGCTAGTCTAAATGCCCTGTAACCTTATGAAGAACACGATGCGCCAAAATCTAATTTGCAAAGCAACAACTCTGAAATTAGTATAAACACGCGAGCAAACGAACGGCATTCAACAAATTAAAATGTGGGTTAAACAAATCAAACGGACAACGAGACAAATTGGCAAAGATTTGCTGGCAATTTGCAAATAAGCGTGCAAAAACAAGCTATTTTTGGTGGAAGTATTTTG